AAAGGAATAAGAGGAAAGAGGAGGTGTGTGGGGTAGGGTGGTGGAGGGAGTGGGAAGCGAATGACATCACCGCAGGTCAAAGAAAAAGGGGAGAGAGGCAGGCGAGAGGAAGAGTGGGGCGTTTGGCATTGGAGCTCGAGCCCAGCCTGCCCTGGCAAGGACCTGGGCGTCCCCAGAGACCATGCAGAGGTCGCCTCTGGAAAAGGCCAGCGTCATCTCCAAACTTTTTTTCAGGTGAGAGGGTGCCCAGCCGAGTTTTGGAAAGACACGTGCCCATGAAACAGGAGGGCCAGGGTATGGGCTGGTTTTGGCGAAAGAGGAATAGTTTTTTAAAGATGCGCTATCATTAATTGTTAGGGAAGGGAACCTGGATTTTGTGGAATAAAATCGAAAACATTAAGAAGCGATAAAAGAATAAACTGAAGCCAATTGTTTAGATAGAAAGTTAGTTTAACTTTGAAGTCTTAACTAACAACTGAAAGTCGTGCTCTCACGACCCAAATGTGCTCTCGTGCAATTGTTTTCTTAGATTTTTCTAGTAAGTTTGTGAATTATAAACTTGTTAGTAAACATACTTAAGTTTAGTCCTTTGTTTTCTCTCCTTCGTGCCTTGGGAACTTAGATGATTTATTGACACACATACTACTGGTACTATGCCTGCACGTAGTAAGTCCTCAGAATACATTTGCTGACTTAATTTTGAACTTTTTCAGGGGAGATGAGTGAAGTGGGCACTTTGTGCTTAAATTAAGTTTTCATTTTTATAATACTGAATAAGTAACAATATTTGCTGCAATTCTTTTATTCTTTCTTTAAAGGATGAAAGCAAATCCTTTGAAATACCTTAAAAAAAAAAAAAAAGAGCCAATTCCACAAGCTATAAATTTTAAAAGGGTCAAAATTATGGAAATGTGAAGCCATGGGAACAGATACTGAAGTTATATCCAACTCACATTTAATAAATTGCACTTATCCTACTATGTATGTGATGATCCATAAAAGCTTGCACACTTCATCTAATGAGATTTTTTTTAAAATAGAGTCTAAGTTCCAAGTATCAGGCAAAGTGTAATTTAAATGTAGCATTTCATATTGGAAGTGTTCTTTGGATACTGTCTTTTCCTGTTATACTTGTATGGATGAATGAGGAGGTACAGCTCTCTCATGGGATATTACTTGACTCCTAATTATCCAATTAATCAGCATACTTAGGTATCAAAAAAGCACAAGTATATCATAAATATACCCATATGTACATGTGGGGAGAAGGGATTCAGCTTTCACATCTATGTTTTATTCTCTGCATGTGCAGTAAGCCTGGAACTCAGTGCTAAGGAGAGATCATTGGCAATTGGAGCAGAGCTCCTCCCTCTGGATGGGAGAGAAGGACTTTACTCTGAAATTACCTTTTGTGTGTTGTTTTCAGCACCTTTTGTCAAACCATCTATAAAAAATTGGATTCTCTCTTGATCTATTTTCCTAGTACTTACAAAATCAGGATGCTCATTGGCATACTTATGGACTTTTTTGAAGAACACTTTGAGGAACCTAAATGCCAATTAGTCTAAAAACAAAGTTCTCAGAAGAATGAATACCTCATTGCTATTTCTAAGTATTAAAGGACTTTAAATAAATTGTTATAAGAATAAGTGTAATTTAAAAAGTTAAGTTTCTACTGTTTATAGGAATGGTCACCTAAAGTATCTGTGATTATAAACTTCTTTCTGGGTTATTATTCTGAAGGGGTAAAAAACTTCTTTCTGCTTTGGATTAGACAGTACTGCTTAGTGGTCCAAAGGGGTTAGGCTTTGGATTCAGATTGTTTTGATTCAAATTTTGGATCTGCTACTTAGTAGCTGTGTAACCTGAAGCAAGTCACTTAACATCTCTGTGTTTGTGTCACTTTACCTTTAAAATTTGGAGACTAGTAGGATCTCTGTAATAGGGGATAATCTGATGGTAATGTGCATGTAAAGTGTTTGGCCCATAAATGTCGCTGCTATTATTATATCATCATCAATTACCATATTTTTACATTCTTTATAATACTGTATACCTTGTTTATATAATATACTCAATTCATCTTTGTTGAATATAATTTTGTGACTATCGGTGTGTATGTGCAACGACTGGGCCTGAATGAAAATGTAAATTAGAAAAAAAATCTTCTCTGACATGGCCTTAGCAGATACACAAGAAAAAAGTCATATGCTTATATCATATGTTGTTAAATGACTTACAATTTAACTTTCTGAATATGGCCCCTTCAGTTTCATTGTCATAAAAGTGTAAAGCTGTTATGGTCTGAGTTATAGGTTATATTAAATATCTCTTTCATTGTTTAGGTTTTGTTGTTGGATAAGATAATAAAGTTTGGGGAAATTTTAAGTACTTAATTTTGCATGGATTTCATATCAAGTACAAATTTGAAGGACATCGGAAGTGTCATAATGCTAATGCATATATATTTATAAACAATCTAAAAGAGAATTTCACACAAAAGTTCAAATAGTTTATGAATATCATGGAAAACAAGTACATTAACTTAAAGCTTTTATAAAATAGGAAGATGTTTTAAAACTATAGATGATATGTTTGCATAGGATTTGAAAAGTTAATTAAAGTTGGTGATGCCCTGGTAGGCTAAATAGCCATCTCAGATCACGAATAAAGAAAAATTGAATTTATTTAAGGAAAAGGGGATGGGGAATGGGGATATCCAAAGAGAAGGGCTACACAGCACCGAGCCAAAGGGTATTGGGTCCGTAATGGCAGCAAAAATATACTTAGGACTTTGAAACAAGGAAGGTGCATAGAAGAAGTAACAGGAGAGCCCAGGCTGGGCCTTTGGCTCACTGAGGAGTCAGAGAAAAGGGGGCCTTGGAGACAGGTTCAGGGGGTAAGCCTGGGATGAACTTCGGCTGCCTGTTGCTTCCCTGCTTGCAAGTCTTGTGGGGTCCCTTAGAGGTTAGGGGACATGTGCTTGTAGGGGAAGGTGAGGAAGAGGGAATGGCACAGGCATGCTCCTTGGAGGGAGAGTGTGCACTGGGTCCTTTGTCTTGAGCATATTTATCTCTTTCTTGCTGGTGGAAATCTTAGGGGATATCTCAGGGGAGGGTCTTAATAGAATTTTCATCAGCTTTCCAGGTGTGGTCTTTCAGGGTCATAGTCTCCACTGATTGGTCAGTGCTAGGGCAGGGGGTCATTAGTCAATGTCACTGGTCTGGAGGCAGCCACTGCTTTTTTGGGCCTGGACCTGAAATACAAATGAGTCCTAGATGTTATCTTTAGAGAGGAAAAGGTCAGGGAGTCTAAACTGCCTGGCCAGCTATATGAAAGATCAGTGGTCCAAACTGCATGCCCAAGGATATACTAGGAAAAGATAGGTTACCCTGGGGGTGAGGTTCTTGTTTCCTCAGTTTTGCCCCTTGCTAGGAAAAACTGCTTTCTGCCCTGGTGAGTTTCTATACCTGGCCCATCGTCTTTGCTCTGCTCATGTCTGTCTAACAGAATTTGATTCATATACTGGTGGAATTGATTTACAATTGTTTGCCAACAGAGCAATTTTAAGCAATTTTCCAAAACTACATTTTTTGATAACTTTTAAAGTGTTTACTTGGCTTGTTCTGTGTCTTTTCCATCATGCCCTTAATTTCCCATATTCTGTTTAGTTGTGAGATTGTGTACCAAACCACGTGTCAGATGACACAGCTTGAATTTTGGTCATGGTATCCATACCAGAAGTTTAGATGTATACTTCAGGAATAGTTACAGCCCCACAGATTCCAAGTGTACAATGCCACTGATCTCTTACACGACTGGGTATAGGGGATCCCAATAAACTCCACAGATAAGTCTCAAGTAAGACTAAAGAGTAAATAATGTTAAGATCTAAGATACAATTTAGCAAAGAAATGCATATTGTATGTTTCAGGTTAATAAGATAATTTAAGATACTTTTGTAATTATCAGACACAAAGTAGTGAGAGAGGTTTAAACTAATATGTTAGAATTTATATACCAGAATGGGTGTGATGGGTCAAAATAGCTACCAATGGAAACCAAACTCTTATTCTAAACATTCTGCCTTTGATCCAAGTGTTTTAAATTCTTGTTATAGGATTACCTTTAAAAACAGTATGTAAATTTTCTTCTCTTAAGTATATAGTAAGTAGTTCATTATTTTTTAGCCATTATTTTATAGTAGCTTGCTTTAGATTAAAAGTCATATTACCCAAGAATGGTCACTTGGACTTGCTTTTAAAATGACTTCTGACCCTATCTCAAAACTAAATGCACTCTGAAAGTATAAAGATTTTCATCATAATTTGCTTTGTTAACAGCCAATTGCTTCTATAGTTTAGGTATTATCATTCAAGAAAATATATTGCAAATTTTATTTTATTTTTCAACTATAGTTGACATTCATTATTATTTTGTTTTTTAAATGGGCAGCTTTTTTTTTGTTTTTTAAAAAATATGTCTTTATTGATTTCAGAGAGAGGAAGGGAGAGGGAGAGAGAGAGATAGAAACATCAGTAATAAGAGAGAGTCATTGATTGGCTACCTCCTGCATGTCCCCCGCCGGTGGGTTGAGCCTAAAACCTGGGCATGTACCCTGATCGGGAATTGAACAGTGATCTCCTGGATCATAGGACAATGCTCAACTGCTGAGCCACGCCAGCCAAGCTCAATGCTATTTTTATTGCAGATTTTAAAGACATTTCTTAATGAAGAGAAACATAAGTGCTTTGAGCAACAGAAGCATAATTACAATAAGTATATAATGAAATACTCATAAAGATGACAAATTTGAAGAGGACCACACTAATTTGGTTACATAAATTATGGCATAGTGTAAAAAAATTCATCACAATGATTTTGTAATTACATTTTATTTACATGTTTGTAAGGCATGAGGAAATCTAAAATTATGGCTGTCATAAATAGTTTGAAGTCTGTTGGGAGTATTCATAGACATCTTGCCAAGGGAGACCAGTTGGCCAATCAAATAAAAGTCTAGTGCTGTCCCAATCAATGCAAAGGTTTTTCTTTCAGACAAGGTTTAGACTATCTAAATCAAAAGAAATATATGCATAAAACAAAAGGCCAATGTGAGATGCTTAATTCATAGTGAGATGTGCAGCTGTCAAGGATGCCTGAATACCATGAGTCCATTTAGCCAGTCAGTGAGAAAATGCGATGAGGACAGCCCTCGGTTTTCATGTACTTTC